GTAATATGTCCATATGATAACAAATAAAATTCTCTTGTACATCTTTATATGCATCCATCTGATTCGTTCTAATCGTTGATCTATGACAAATTGATCGAAGATTCTTTTTTATATCAATTTATAGAGGACAATGTGTTGAAACTACTTTTGCATTGTTCTTACAAGAGAGTTTTTGATTTTGACGTTTCCGTGCGTACCAGATTTCTTCACCATTTTAAATGCTAGAAAGCTGGGCTTGATGTCAAGATGAAGGCAAAAATCAGTTCTACAACTTAACAGAGCCAGGTTCTTTTTGACTTTCCCATTAATATTTACTAAAAGCTAATCATTCTAGACATATACTCCCCAATTTTTTCGTACTTTATCAGAGGAACTTTCGAAAAACATAAATCAGGAAAAGTCAATGGATTGGGTCCTATTAAGCTGTAGCATCACGTTTTGGCTACAATTAAAAATCAACCCAAACTTTCCGGCATTTGAAATGGCAGAAGAATTTGGGACACACGAACACCTATATTCTGACCGTAATCTTAAACTAACATTTCTTCGTAGACTTAGTGCATCGAGCTGAAATTTTTTCTGTGAGGTACCTAGCTCGAGACACACCTCTACTGGAAGTGTCATAAATATGGATCTCGAAAAAAATTTGTTTAAGGGATAGTCTCTTCAGCAAAATTAAATATTGATTACTAATCAACAGCCTAGTCATCTATCGTTATTTCAATTTCATATCATAATTCAATGAGCATACAACATTTCTTTTTGTTGAATCGACTTGTATTACCGAAAATGATACTTTCAAATTGCTTCAAAAACAGTTTTGTATATGAAAAAATTTTTTTCCTCACTTGAACTTTCTTCATAATTTAAGAGTTCTGAAATCGTACTCTTTCAAAATAAATTTATTCATTTCAATGATTTAAAAAATAAAATTCAATATTGATAGTTTCCAATCATCTGAAAATATTTATTGTTCATATGTATATATTCTTTAAAAAAAACAACAAAGATATACTACAATATAAACATCAACACAAATAAAATAGTACTAGAATAAATAAAAGAGTTCTCGGTTAATTTCGTTACTTTATTACACATATCTTGATCTGAACAAAAACAAATTTCTATGGATTTTTTATTTTCTTTTATAATTTTTCGACAACCATTTGATGTATTAATACCCATTTCAGCTGTTCGTAATAATTCATCAGTTGAAAAACATCGACGACTTGATTTTAATGATGATAAAGCGGCATCTTTTAATTTTAATCGTTCTTGACTATTATTACCTAATCGTTTTATATCAAGTAAATCAACGGATTTCCAACATTTTCCATCACAATCTTGTAATGTATGTTCAGTAAAATCAAATTGTGCTTGACAATCTTAAATAAAATTTAAATGAATATATAATAATCAATAAATAAAATTTTACATACCATCTTGAAATACTCCTAGTTCTTCTGATGATTCAATTGTAACTTCACATTTCCAACATTGTAATGAAAATTCACGAGAATTAATTTGATCAAAAATATTGAAAAGATATAATATCAATAATAACAATTTACTTGTCATCTTCCATTCATCAACAATAGATCGAACTCAATAACATACATAGAAATGAATAGATTGTATATAGATTTGTTTACTCAAGAATAGTGCTCATCTTTTTTTCTTCTTTCTCTTGTGTTTGGTCGGTCATTTATATCTTCTATCGATCAAATCTAAAGGTGACAAGCTCATCCGTTCATCCCTCTTTCTTTTTTTTTCTCTTTTTCTTTCTTCACTATTGATGAAATCTTCTTGTCATCTGCTTTGTATTCAATATGTGTATTAAAGTAAAAATAATGAAAGTATTTCGTTAAATAAACATCAGATTGTCTTTTTTTTACACACAATATTTGTCAAGCATATATAATGAAAAGAAAAAAAATTTTACTCGTATTCATTTTTAATATACTGTTCTTCTTGTATTTCATATATATTCAATATTTATTACTTTTAAAGTATCTAGCTTTATAAAGTATGTAATGATTATGAATTTCTATAGTTCTCTCATGTATGAGACATTTGCTTCATCAAATATCATTGTGTAATATTGATTAACTCGAATATTAATATTTGAAAGTCTTTTGTACACAAAGAGATTTTTATATCATTGATTATTAGAAGATAGCCATATAAAGAAAATATAATGATGAAAAATGAAAGTTGATAGAAAATTAGTATTTATAAAAAAGAACTTTATGATTCTTATTTAGAGAAGCATAAATATAAATATTTCTTCAACATTAAAAAATAAATTTTTAAATGAATATATCTTCTATTTTATTTTTATTTTAACAGAAGCTTACGAAGGAACATTTTTAAGTGTCAAATCGCTTTTAGGTCACAACTATGCGTATCTAATAAACTATGCATATCCTGAAAAGAATTCAGACTAATAGCTTGTTACTGTCGAGATGCTGTACTTTTTAGCAGAATATCATAGTCTCCATCAGGAATATAAGGAAAACTGAGTTTCGAATTTCAACTTGAAACATCGCATAGAGACACGCCTTAACAAGAACAGCTTATTGTGAAAGTTTCAGATTTTTCAATTGCTCCTATTCTGAAATAAGAACATCGGAATTTGCCGTTGTGTATATGAACAACGTGAAAAACATGTTTTTCCCATAGCCGTATCTTTGGATAGAAGCTAAAAAGCTATTGTCGTAGATGAATTGTTCTAACTGCAGCTGCCTTTGTCATCATTTTCAAATCCGCTTTTAGTTAAATGTGGTCTAAGAAATTGTAAGTCAAACCTAGAAGCTTGAGCTGCTCTCTACGTATCATTGCATGGTTACAAAATCACTTATCCGAATGCTCAGTATATATAGAAATCAATGAAAATAAATCTAATTGCTTTTCACAGTTCAGATGATTAAAAATCTTTAATTTATTGCAAAAGTAATATCATATTGAGCAAGTTCTCAAATTCAAGTCTCTTGATGTTATTATTGATGCTAGATTAGCTTTTATTTTTCACTTCGATTACATCATGTCAGAAATTCATAAAAACATTACATTACTGAAACAGTTATCGCCCAGTCGTATATTATCAAAAGAAATTTCCTGTAGATTATATGATGTATGTATTCGATCATACTATTAATTGATTTTGATTATTTATCGAATTTTATCTAAAACTAAAAATGAGCAATTGGAAGAATTAAATCGAAAAATATTTCGCATTATACATAGATAGTATGATACTACAAATGATGAAATAACTAGTCTGATCTACTCATGCATTTACATTTCATAAAATTATTAATAACAATTATTTGTAGCAATCCCTCGTTCATGATTGATTTTATTCATCAAAAATTACATATATGTTGTTCTTAGAAGAGTACTGTCTAAATCTTGTTCTTTCGAAGGAAGAGCATTAAATCGTATACGTCAGCTATCGATGTCTGATAATCATTCTTGTTTGATTCTTTTGCATAAAATCAAAAAACAAAAATGTTAACTTGTATATTGACATTCGATTTCTATTGTGTTCATGTTGTTACCTATCATTACTATAATTATTCTGGGTGACGATCAGTAACGATAAAACTATATATCACGTTGTTCTTTTTTTTCCAAATATCATTATCTGAATTGTATTCTTTTTTCCGCTTGTATTCGTAGAGTATGAACGTATTGTTACTTGGGTTTCTGTAAAACTATGGAGGCGATGTTCGTCTAAGTCTACCTTCTTCTCTTTTTCTCATCTTCTTATGATATATAAAACAATCTATTACTATCGGCAGATTATTCTCAGATACCGACGAAGGTAAAACAAAAGAACAGCGTGATTGTTATGATCAGTACTTACTCAAGATGTGAGAGTTGGAAGATGGGTGCTAGCAACTAATTATGTGTTAGAATTTCTACATCGATAAGATGATATGCAAACATGAATCTAGAGTACACCATACTCACGAAATTATATTAAAATAGGATACATGTGAGAGCTGAAGCTATATTTGAATATGAACAAGTCGTATTTTTAATAGGAAAAAAGCGAGATTAATACGAAAAAAAAAACATAATCTAATGTTCATGTGGTAATGAGCCTCATGAGTCTGACTTGGGAAGATCCTTATTATTATTTTTTCTTTTCTTCCACGACAAACTGGTTCGCCAACAAAGATGAGCAAGAGACTTGATTGTATCAATTAATGATCTTATTTTGGAAATGGTTTAAAAAAATGACTCATAACCACATCCCATTCACATCCTGGATTCACTGTCAATGATATTTCTTCGAAAACCTGAGATGATAATGCAGCAGCATGAATTGTGGCAAGCATTGATCGAATAATTATTATTTAAAACGACATATACAATTCATGACTATGATACAGACGAACATAAACTATCAATGTGGTCGATAGAAATTTTCTTTGAAATACATATCTAATTCGATGCAAATTGGTGAATTTCTTATTTGACAAAACCGAAATCCGAATTAACCTATGCGTGTTTGTAATAAAATTCTCAAAAAATTCTGTAATTGCATTTAATGTTGTTTTGTCGAACATGATGGATAAAATATTTACCGTTGTGCCAGTTCTATCGAAACCAACATATACAATCTCTAAGATTTAATCAAATAATGAGATTTGCCTACAATAAATATTAGTGTATATTTGCTTTTCAAAGATAGAAGTGTTTCATTGATAATATTTATTGTCATTATAAAACCTTCAGATAAAACTTTTTTCTAAGATATTTTTCAATAGATGCTTTTACGTTGTTTTATTCTGTGAGGATAGTAATGACACTTTCTATTTTATAACTGTGCTTCTACTTGCTGTCTCACACTGCAAATAATCATAATTTCACATTGATAATAACCATAAAATTTTTTGTAACAAACAATATAAAAGAAACTCTATTTAAAACAAAGACACTTTTATTACAGGCATACAAATATCAAACTACTTCCTTTGAAATTCATCATCATGTGCCTTTCAAAATTAACTTCTACATGTACGTTTATTCTACTTATAGGAGTTGCTATATTAGTAGTAATTTCAATTGCATTAAATGCTGCTATTTTGAGTGTAATTAATAAACGATTTGATGAACTTAAACCTGAGAATGGTCAAACGACAAGTAAAACTACAGTTTCATCATCACCAACAATGACAAGCACGACTCGACCATCAATTTATTTTAATTTGGCTGATTCAATTCGTATTGAAGATTTAATGAATCATCTTAATGAGTTACAACGTATTGCTGATAATGCAGGAAATACTCGTGCTATTGGAACTCGTGGATTTACAGAAACAGTTAATTATATCCATAATTATCTACGTAATAATGCTCCTACTTTAAATGTTTTTCGAGAATCATTACCGATACAAAATTTTACAATTAAAGGAAATCCAATATTGATTTCAACTATCAATAATACTAATAAAACATTTAGTTATTCAACTAATTTAGCAAGATCTGATTTTACATATGTCAATTATTCAGCTCAAATTACTTTAACAAAATTTAATTTAATAGTCGTTCCTAATTATGGATGTGATGAATTCGATTGGCAAAATGTAGCAGGTCGAGCAGCATTAGTAGTAGTAGGAGGTGCATGTACTAATGCTGAAAAAGGTGAGTTAGCCAATAAATATAATGCATCGGCTTTGTTGTATTACAATAATGGCTTGACAACTACGAATCTTGCACCTGTTATTATACGTCTTCGTCAAACAAATAAATTACCAGCACTCTATCTTTCTTATGTTGCTGGACAAGAATTAGTCAATGCAGCTAATTTAAATAATGTGAGTATTTGGCTTCGGATTGAACGTGAAAATTATACATCATTCATCGTTGAAAATATCTGTGCTGATACAAGAGAAGGCAATATTAATGAAACTATTGTTGTGGGTGGTCATAGCGATAGTGTACCTGCTGGACCAGGAATTAACGATAATGGTTAGTATTAAGTTTCTTTTTGCCAGTTTGCATCTTTTTTTGTCCCATATTTTAGAACTATAGTTAAATAAATGCTTATATTCATACTAAAATTTATAATTTTTTTAATAACTATAGATGCAAATCGAAAAACTGCGTGCTCCCTTAACCATGAAAAATGTACGAGAAAATTTCTTTTACTACTTCATCATAAAAGATAAATATGTTATACATAGAGCATAGAACAATTAAATAGTGGCTGATAGAGAAATAGCTAAGCGCTGCCTTCTGAAATTTGATATTATCTTTGGATATGAAAGTTCTCTTAGATTTTGTAGACAGACTATAGATTCTGTAAAAATTCGTTTCATTTCTTGATAGAAACATATTGTGGAAGGCATAAGTTTAGAAGGATTGTATTTTTAAGATTTCTTGTCAATGGTAACAGCTAGCAAGAATCAGAAAAAAAACATTTGCTTAACTGAAAGGATTCTCTATTAGGATTGATAGGTCTGAAACTTTCAACAAAACTGCTTAGATAAAGGTCTGTTGAAAACCAAGACCTTCAAAACCAGTTTTCTGGCTTCCATGCGAAGCTTAGTGGAAATTATTTTATTTGATAGAGCAAATAATTCTGAGAAAAATAAAATGTCTCGGTACTCTTCATGCGTTCTTTCATCGAACTATATTCAATTTACTAAAGGCTCAAGAAACATTTTTCTCTTGTTTTTTCTTTTTATTGAAAATTTCAATGTTTTTACCATGTTTGACGTTTTGCAGTTTTCTATGAATTGAATGCACTTTTTCCAAAACCTTTGAATGAAAGCCAGAAAACTGATTTCGAAGATATCGATTTTCTGTAGACTCTCATCCAAGCAGTTTTGCTGAAATCTACAGGCCTACCAATTCTGATAGAGAATCCTTTCAACTACACAAAGTGGTTCTTTAGAATCTTGTTAAATGTATTACCATCGAGAAGGAAATTTAAAAATACAGCTGCTCGAAACTTTTGTCCACCATTCTATGTCTTTTAAACGTTGACCTTCCAATTATTTCTTTTGATATCAAGGTCCTTGTTTGTTTCTAAAAACAAATTTTCCATTTTTCAATAATTCAGGTAGCGGAACAATGGCTATTCTGGTTTTGGCGACGAATTTGGCTCGTCTCTATCAATCTGGAAATTATGCTAAATATAGATATCGTGTTCGATTCTGTTGGTGGGCTGCTGAAGAAATTGGACTTGTTGGATCAGTTTATCATGCTCAACAAGCTCAAACTTCATCTGCTACTCCTGGCAATCGTCTTCAAGATTATCTAATTAATCTTAATTATGATATGCTTGGATCACCTAATTATATTTTGGGTATCTATAATGGTAGTTCAGCAAAGCCAGGTACTCCATCATGGGCAATCAATGGAAGTGTTCGAATTTCTGATGTATTTCGTAGTTGGTTTATTGAAAAAAATTTACCTTGGGATTTTACTGATTTTAGTGGTCGAAGTGATTATGGTCCATTTTTAGCAGCTGGCATAGTTGCAAATGGACTTTTTTCCGGTGCCGACGAGACTAAAACAGCTGAACAACGTAATAGATATGAAGAAAAACTTGGTCAAGGTCAAGGTGGTTTAGCAGGTGCAATTCTTGATCCTTGTTATCATAGAGTATGTGATACAACTGATAATATAAATCAATTGGGTTATGAAAAGATGGTTCAAGCAGCAGCATATATGCTCGAATATTTAGGTCAAAAAGATGATTTACCAACATGGTTATATCCAGCAGGACGACCAAAACCTCGATTACCAGACGATTATTTTCCTAATAGTGATTATTTTCGAGATATTGATATTTAGTTGAACAATTACGTTTTACTTAAATGAACAAAATATCTTTGTCTTTTGTTCGAATAATTATCTGATTTGAGGAAATATTTTTTTTTTTTTACAAAGAACGAGATAATTTCAATGTAAAAGATCACAAGAAAAAAAACGGAAAATAAAGTTTGTACATACGTACATATATCAAGAAAAGCTATTTATTTTTATTGATGTACTCTAAAGTTATACATTTTCTCTTTATATATTGAAGGTCATTTTTTTTCGAAACAATATGATTATGTATATGGGTGAGATACTTGAATGTATTACTTGAAAACTTGAGATTATCAGTATCATATGAATAGATCGAAAGCTATCGGTTAATTTCAGTGATTTTCATAATCAACTATTAGTTGTGATTATTTCCTTTGTTGTGAAGATTTTACAATGTAAAATGTGACGGTTAACTATAATTAACCAAACAATAAATGAGTCAGTTGGAGGTGACTGATTAGTTATCTCGTTAACTATAATTAACCGTGAGTTTTGACATTGTAAAACGTTGCAAAGAAAAGTAATAATCACGTTTAATCATGAATAACGAAAATAGTCGGAATTAAACGGCATCTTTCAATCGACTTATATGACCGTAAACTCCAAAATATCATTGTCATTGTGGCAATCTTAACAGTATGATGCGATTAATTTTAATGCTTTCTGTGACTTTCGAAATGAAATGGTCAAGAAATACAATGGCTAGTAGTTATATACATTTTCATAGTCACAAGTTGTTACCAGTTTTTGGCAAAAATTTCCTCACTCATACATGTATTGGTATTTTTTATCAATTTTAATTTTTAAAGTAATATATTATTTTTAATGTTAGTGGGCATGTTTTATCTGAAGATATGTACTATCGAACAGTAACTAAAGATCAAATTTTCATATCAAAACGTTTATTAACTAAAATAAATAAAATTTTTCGTTGAGATGAACGTATATTTTCTTGTGATTCTACTTCAACTATCGCATTTATTATTAAAGAATTTATCTGTGATTTAAAACAATAACAAAAAATATTAATCTAAAATCTTTAATGGCAGATTATTTATTTTTATAATATTTTTTTTTTTTGTTTTGTTTTATAGTCTTAGAAAAAGCATGTATATATTGTCTATATGAAATTGATGAATCAAGAATAGTATTTGAAAAAACGGTTGTTGTAACATCAGATTTGTTTGGTTTTTAAAACAATATTAGAAATATTTGCAATCCAATGTTATAAAAAAAATCAAGAGTTAGCAAGTCTTGGTTTAGAATTTATATGTCAAAAATTATATCTTTTACAATTATCATTACCAACTATTTATTATCGATATAACAACATTAGATACTCGAAAACTTTCAAGTAAACTTAATGATAAGGTAAAAAAATTCTTAAAACAATCAAACCATGATACATTTTAGTTGTGATATATTTTTTTCTATTATCTATGAAATTTTCAGCTTGTTATTATATTTTTTTTATTTTTTTTTTGTAAATATAATGAAGAACTCTGGTTTTTTTTCTGTTTATATATAATATAATATGCATGAACTTCCTAGTGAGAAAAAGTTCAGAGTTATTTTTTGTTTTTATTTAATCTTTATTTTATCAATAGAAATCGAATATGCTCAAAGATTATTAGCTCGTTTTCTTCAATTCGAACACATATTGCAAAAATTTCTTATCCTGATGCTGATGTTTTATCAAAATATTTTATAAATTGTATATCAACAAGATTTACTGATGGATTAATTAATCGAAAAATTCTTGATATACAACGACATGGAAAATATTTATGGTTTGAAATGGCTAATTGAAAACCTTTAACATCTATATTTCATTTTGAAATGTCAAAAGATTATTGTGTAAAATCAGCATCTGATGTTACTTATTTAAAAGAATTGAAACATGTAAAAATAAAGGGAAAAAGATGAAATCGATGGATAATGTGAATCGTATGCTTGAGGGTGTGGGTATGCGTATAGTTGAAGGCAATACACACCCCACACCCTCTTTTTCTCGGATAGAAATCTATCTTCTTCAAGTATTACTGTACGAGAGCAGCTTATTTTGTTCCTAATTACGACATGTGTTTAACAAGAAAGAAGCATACTGCTTGATCTATATTTCGAACAAATAGTATGTGAAATTATAGTTTATATCGTTCTTGGACTATCACAAAACTGGCAACAAACACAATTATTAATAGTAATAATCAGATTCCGTGGATTCTGAGAGTGTGAATTTCAGTTCTCTTTATCCTCACAGCCACATCCATATTTGAATATCTAACGTATATATCTTTTACATAATTCAAGTGGTTTTATTTGTAAGTGTGTTCCTTAAAGTCTAATTCTCATTAAAAATTACGGAAAAAAAAGATAGTCGACAAGATTTATGATATGCCCGAGTTGTCGCAAAGATCTGCTCCATTTCATGAACAACTTGAACCGTAATTAATATTACTTAAACTTCTAACAACAATATCCATTGTTCGATTATTCGTTTCATTTCCATAATTTCGAATAACTGTATACAAATCTTTTTCAGCACAACGAGTTCATAATAAACTTCTGATTTCATTTGTTTGCGTATATGTATCCTATTCATTAAATAAATTATTACAATTACTAATAAAAACAAAAACAAAAACAAAATCTAACAAATCTTATTACTATTATAAACATTATTTATTGAAGATATTTTTGTTGTTGATAAATTTTTTAATTTATTCGAAAAATTTTTGCTGTTATTGTTAATTGAAATAATTGTTCAGCAAGTGGACTAGTTTTTGATGTACATCGTTCAACTATTTGTAACCAACTTAATTGACTGGAACCAGCTGATGATCTTGTCTATGAACAAAAGAAATATTTTTCTTTTGATTAAACACTGCAAATGTTCGTACTTGAGTAAGTATATATTGAATATTTGTTCTCACATTTTGTATTAAATGAAGATGTCCAATAATAAATACTTTTAAACGTATAGATAATACTTCGCAACTATGTTCATATAAAATACGTAATTCTTCTAATAATTAACTATTTAATGCTTCATAAGTTTTTTTTTTGAAAGATCAAGTATTATTGTTGAATAATGTTTCCTGAAAGTAACAACAAAATACGACATTTACAAATTATTGTTTTTTTTTTACTAATCTTTTTCTTCAAATGTCAAATATCGACATTGGTTTTAATATCATCTTTATCTTTCACTTTTCATTGTATTTTGATTCACAAAAGACAAATAAACATGCCATCAAACCAAGTCACTCACGTCGATAATAGCAACAATGTTTCTAAAAATATTAGATATACAAAATTCATTATACTCATCCTTGGCATAGGAATAGTACTTGGAACGATTATTATTACACTTTCTATCGTTACTTTTATCAAAATTAACATGACATTTCACAAGATTCAAGACAACAATGAAAAACTAACGATCAGTTCAAAATCAGTTCAACAATCATCATCTGACTCCGTTTTGGGTGCATCTATTCGTATTGATGAAGTGATGAGCTATCTTAACGAATTTCAGCGTATTGCTACTGCTTATAATGGAACTCGAGCAGTCAATACACCTGGATTTAATGCAACATTCGACTATATTAACAACTATCTAACTGCTAATACGAATTATAAAATAACAAAGACTTTTTTCTTCTTGAAAGATTTTGCACTTGCAAGTAATCCGATATTAATTTCATCGATTAATGGTATCAAAAAAAACTATACTTATTCAACCAATCCTTCCAGTGCTGAATTTTATCATGTTAAATATTCAACATCGACTAATTTTTCCAACAATATTCAACTTACAGTTATCCCAAATGTAGGCTGTTCAGATGATGATTGGCAAAAAGCGATTCCACCTCCTCAAGGTCGAGTAGCACTTGTCAAACGTGGAATATGTGCATTTCGAGACAAAGCTATACTTGCTACTAAATATAATGTAGCTGCACTTTTGCTATATAATGACGGTACATCACCTAATCATGTTGCACCATTGGAAGTTAATCTTGCTCAAGATAATGCTATACCTGCTCTCTTTCTTTCGTTTACTATTGGTCAAGCTCTTGTGAATGCAGCTCAAAATTCGTCAACAAATACTACTGTACAGTTAGTTATTAATGTGAAAGATCTGCCTAACTTTCCTGTAGGAAATATTTGTGCTGATACTCCAACAGGTAATGTTGCACAGACTATCGTCATTGGTAGTCATAGTGATAGTGTAGCAAATGGACCAGGTATCAATGATAATGGTAAGTTCAATAGTCAAATAATACTTCTTATATTTCTTTCTTCTATTACAGGTAGTGGTAGTGCAGCTAATCTAGCTCTAGCTGTTGCTCTTGCTCGTCTTTTTCGAACATCAACATATCCCAAATATAAATATCGAGTACGATTTTGTTGGTGGGGTGCTGAAGAACTAGGTCTTGTTGGTTCAGATTTTCATGTCAAACAAGCGAAAAATTCATCTATTATTGGTGAACGTCTTCAAGATTATCTAATTAATCTTAACTATGATACAATTGGTTCACCTAATTATATGTTTGGTATTTATAATGGTCGTGCAGCTAAAAATGATACACCATTACAAGCACTTCCTGGTAGTACAAAAATTACAGATTTATTTCAAAATTGGTTTATTCAACAGAACTTACCATGGGATTATAGAGATTTGGATGGTCGAAGTGATTATGCTCCATTTTTAGCTGAAGGTATCGTTGCATGTGGATTGTCTGCGGGTACGGATGGTATCAAAACACAAAAACAACGTGATCGATATGATCAAATGCTTGGTCAAGGTTTGGGAGGTATTGCGGGTATTATGTATGATCCTTGTTATCATCAAATTTGTGATTCGATACAAAATATCAATTTGTTTGGTTATGAGAAGATGGTACAAGCAGCTGCTTATGTTTTAGAATTCCTAGGTCGAGAAGATGATTTAAAAACATGGTTATATCCATCTATTGAAATTCAACGCTTCACTGGTCGATCACACAAATCATCACGGCTCGAGTACAATTCGATTAACGAATATTTTGGATTGCCTTATTATTGATAAATTAAAGCATAGACATGATATGACATTATTTTTAAGAAAGAAACTTCTTATACGGATACGTTTAGATCATAATTAAGGCGAGACGTACTTTATAATGATCTTTTTTTTCTCGAATTTCACATCAAAAGTTTATATTTAGTGATGTATTGATCTCGAGAATCACGTATTGTCTGATGCTATTTAGTTGAAATGTCATTAGAGATGTTAAGATCTCTATATAATACAAATTTTATTCAATTTTCGGTATGATGTTTCGTTCGATCAAAGTAAAAGCTAGATATTGTAAATTATCTATGGATTTTATTTTCATTATGTCGATATAATGAAGCAACACTAGGTGCTGATCTTAGCAATGATTTATTATCGTTCCCAGTAATGATAATCTATCGGCAGCTGAACAGTTGTTCATGATTGTGAGTGTGAGAGATGTGATTTTGGTGTGTGTGTGTGTGTGGCTGTTATGATTACGCAGGGAAAAAATGCGACAGTAGAAAATATCAAAGTCTTTTCTTTATCCAACAATAACTTACAGTAGTAATAATAAATTTTCATCAATTCAATAGCTACTAAGAGTTTTTATTATTTGTGTAATGTCGAAAAAACCCCAAACCGAAGTTCGAAATGCTTCATACTCTAAGCTGAGCTGAGCTCAGATGTCATCTAGTTTGATCATTAGGTAGATGAATGTTGAGGATAATTGTGTGCAAATATAAGTAACAAATAGAATATTATTGAAATTGTATTTTGTTTTTCGTTCAAATTGATAGCGTTATGTTTCTTCTCATTGCCTTATATTGATTATGTTTTGCTTTTTCTCTTCATGCATATTATCGCATAAAGCGTCCTCTGCATACAAATATATGTCGTAGAGGTGTATTTTTTCCTTCAATCATTATATAGAATCAGCTGTAAATGATTCACTGAAAATAATGTCGAATGATGATGATGATGATGATTATCCATTTCAATGTTTATCTCAAGAAGCTCGAGAACTTTATTTAGAAAGTCATATTTCACGTATTCGTATTCCATCACCACTTGTTTTCTATCGAGATTATGTCAGTCGAAATAAGCCTGTTATTATTCAAGGAGCACTTGATCAATGGTCTGCTTTATCTAAATGGAATACTTCTGAATATTTACGTCATCAACTTGGTGATACACAAGTAACAATTGATATAACTCCTGATGGTTATGGAGATTGTGTTAAATTACATAAATATTTTGTTACACCATTAGAAGAAAAAATGTCTTTTAATCATTTTATGGATATTATTGAAGGAAAAACATCTTTTAATGGTATTGTTTATTGTCAACATCAAAATAGTTCGTTTACAACAGAATTTCAACAATTAAATAACGATATACATGAACTTAGTTGGGTACGAGAAGCATTTGGTTAGTTAGGATTTTATTATTTAATTTTATACTTTTGTTTTTTGTATTTAAAGGAAATCCACCTGATGCTGTCAATCTTTGGATTGGTACATCAAAATCAATATCAACTCTTCATCATGATCCATATGAAAATCTTTATGCTGTTATACGTGGTCGAAAACATTTTACACTTTATCCACCAACAGATCTTTATTGGTTAGATCAAAAATTTTATAAAAAAGCTCATTATGAGCGTTATAATTCTACACAAAAGATTATTGATGATGATGGTATTAATTTAAAAATTAATGAAAATTTTATAATTGTACCTGATGATAATGAAGTTCCATGGTTTGATCATGATAAAAATGATCTTGAACAAAATACATATTTAAATCCATTAAAAATTACTCTTGAATCAAATGAACTTTTATATTTACCATCATTATGGTTTCATACTGTTCAACAAGATTCACCAATGACAATAGCATGTAATTTTTGGTATGATATGGAATATGATATTAAATGGAATTATTATCAATTTATGTCAAATATTATTAAACAAAAAAGAAAATCAGAAGAAAAACGGACATGACTTTCTTTTTTGTTTTTGTTCGTAAATATCAGTGATTTTCTTCCGATAAAACTTAGGTTGTTTTTTCTAGCAAGAAAAATATATATATATATGTTCGTCTTTCTCGTTCTTCATTTCTTTTTCTTTTTCTTTCTTTTCGTTCAATATTAAAATAAAGAGGAACTAAAATATGAAGACAGAACGAGAGAAAAAAGAATATGCGGATAATTGTTTTCTATTGAATTCATACTTATATCCCGATTGTTAGTTTTTCCTCTGTTGGCAGTTGTGAAACGACGAGTGTGATCAACTATTGTCCCATTTAACATAACGTGCTGTAAGAAAAATATGACATTCAAAGGCATGTTAAAGATTTTAATCAATGATTATCGAAAACAACATGTAAGTTATTTTTATTTAAGAAAGAATTCATTGATGAAAATGTATATATTCATTTGGATTGTTTACGAAAATAAGTGTAATTATATGTACTTTCGAAAACATTCTTATTAAGCTTTGAGGGTTATTTATTGATCGAATTTAAGTCATGTTTTAATTCAATGTTATCGTAGACTGTCTACATATTGTTGTCTTTACGTCTATAACAATATATTCATAGAACTTTCAAAAACATATATTGCAAAAGCCTAAAATGATTGACTTTTTCTAATATTTTTTTTTCAAATAGTTCTACAAGATCTGTGAATAGTTATTAAAGATTATTCGGAAATGAGAGTTTCAATTTTTAATATTATCAAAATAGGATTAGTGATGTTTTTATTATTGTTATTATTTTCTTAGGAAGAAAAGATGTTTTCAATTGTTCAAGAACTGATGAAAACACGACGAGAATTACGAGAAGTCAAAGAGCAACTTCGTACTGTAAGTTACTCTTGACAACGATTGTTTTTTCTCTCATATAATCTCTTTCTTTTGTTAAGTTACAATTGAATGACACAAAAACATCATCTAATCATAGCAATATTCCAGAAGAGACTATCAGTTTATTTGTTCAATATAATGGATTTTTCAATCAACTACGTGACATTCGTCAAACAATGACTGTTAAAGAACTATTGGTACGTGTTTAAAACTTATTGGTTTTTGTTTTTCTTAAAAAAATAATTATAAGATAGGCCAAAGTTCGACAATTAACTGGAATTCCATGTGATCGTTCAATACGTATTCGTGTACTTAGTGAAGATGGTTTAACAACAGTGTTTCTTCTTTCTAAAGAACTTAATCGAACAATAGAATCATATAATGATTTTTTAAAAGCTCGAATGATTTTAAGTATTGAAGATGATGATCTTGATAATGATGAAAAAAAACATTTCGAACAATCTACAAGTACAACTAATAGTGAACAAACTTATTCATTTGATGAATCTGATGTTTAACAAAACAAAAAAAAGACTTTCATTATATGCATCTGTATTTTTCATTTCTATATATTCAAATATGCTGGTACATATTCTGAATTATTTCCTTAATCAAATTTCTTGAATAAAATAAATACTAACAGAATAAACAATAACTATTATTTTCATCTTCTAAATGTTCGTTTCTACAAAAATAAAAGTATAATTTAAATGCTTTAGTTGTGTTTGCCAAAAAAAGAAAAATATTAATATTAGAACACAATAGAAATCAAATAGGATTTTTATTGGTAACTGAAAAAAAATAAAATATTCAAATACACGATTGTTCTAGATTTGATTATTATTCTTATTGTTAAATTTATTTTCATTTGAATGTAACACTTGAAAAATTTGTCAAGAAAATTATATCAGAAGATGAAATAAGTCTTACTGTTAATGGGAAATGCTTAGGTGATAAATAGCAAGTCTCAGTTAAATGTAACATAATGTGTCAAAAGAGAAACAAAATCATCTTCTTTCTAAATAGATTCTCACAAAAATAGAAGTGTCAGTCACTATCATGGATAGAAACTTGAACTTGCTTGAACTAGAATTCAATACTTCTTGATAGATATATTTCATAATAGAAAAAAAAAGCCGAACTAGAGCAATGCCACTTTCATTCTTAATAACATCAGGAATGCATGATCCCTAGATAATAGGAAGCGTTAAAACGCTATATATTTTTCTCTCAATTCAAAATAGTCAAAGTTATTAATATGACTCAAAAAGAATATTTAAAAGATATATAATTCTGATTTCATCATACCAAGATTATAGTTATACAACAGTAATAATCTAAATTTTTCTTTTTTTGTTTCTTATATACGTCTCAGAGGATCCGGATTTTTTTTTTGAAAATCATTCTGATTTATTCTAGGTTTGATTTACTCGCCAAAACTAGAATGAATCAGGATCATTTCTAAGAAAAATCAAGGCTCGCTATGGCGCATCTACTTAACACCGATCAGTTTTCACTACAATACAAGACATTTAACTAACATACATATAAAATATCTTTTAGCAGCTATTCTTTTACTTTGTTGATTTCATATTGACTCAGGATATATTTCAGGTTGCACTGATTAACACGTATCGAACATAATTTATTGACATTACAATAGACATGAAGATTTGAAATTGTTCATGAAAATTATTTTTTATTTTAGAGACAATGAATAAACAGACTGACTCTAGTTACATTTCTTCTGATTAATACACAAAAAGAAATGTTATTTTTCTATACAGAAAAAGAAAAATCTTTTTTTTTTTGTCTTTGTTTCTTCACATAATTAATTTGTCTATGTTTGCATTATTTGTTGTTCTTCAATTTTTGTTATTGCTTCAATATTTTCTACTTTTGTAAAATGAAAATCTGTTTGATTTTTCGGATAAAAAATCGAATATCTTCCAGCAATATATGACACAATGGCTAAACTTATACAAGCCAAAACATTTGATAGAATCATTAAACGTGCACTAATACCATTTATTGTTGATTGGTGTGTATAAAGAACAACACCTATGAAATGTAATAATACATTAATAAGTATGAATAATGATGTTAGATAAAAATATCGTCGAAAAATATTATATAAAACTATTAGAAATACACTTATAGTTGC